GGTGTGTGGGTTACAATATAACAAGAGGCAGGAACCAGATGGAAACTGGACTATCCACTAACAGAAAAAGAGAAAAACTAGAGTTGGTCTCAAACACTGAGCTTCAGGGGTGATCCAAAATCTAGACCTCAACCTGGATTTTAATTTTGGAACCCAAATCTAAGTACCTTCAAACTTTGGGACTATTCAAACTCCAGGACCATTTCTGGAAAAAAGTTCTTACACAAGAGCTTTTAGCAATGAGAAAGGATTTGCCAGTCTTGCAGCTCTTTTGTATGTTATGATGACAACACTTCTGTTTTTACATTTGACACCATAAACAAAAAGGTTTAGTGTTGTAGCTTCCAACAAGAAACTTGACACTAAAGGTTTCAGAGTAGCAGCCGTGTTAGTCCGTAGTCGCAAAAAGAAAAGCAGCACTTGTGGCACTTAGAGACTAACAAATTTATTTGAGCATAAGCTTTCGTGAGCTACAGCTCACTTGCTTATGCTCAAATAAATTTGTTAGTCTCTAAGGTGCCACAAGTACTCCTTTTCTTTTTTACACTAAAGGAAACTTATTTAACCAGTTAGTGGAGTCCTCCATCCAGTGGCTGGACTTTGTAAGAACATTTGACAAATTTAGAAAAGCACAGGATAAGCTAAACAAAGCTTATAGGAACCATCAAAAGACTGACTACAGATAGAACACTCTCTTTAGACAAAAATAAATTCCCAGAAGCTCTCAGTTAATAAAGCGCATAGTTTTTTACAAGATTAACATCTTCTGTAAATAGCAGACAGTCAACATAGCACTCAGGAAAAGCATTTGGTACTGAAAAGTGGCATTGCTTTTACTTACAGTTCAACTATATACTGTTTTATAAGGATAGCAGCAGAAAGTAAGCCATGAACAGTTTGAAATACAAAGTTGTATAGGAAACTAAAGATGATGGTAATAAGTTTATAATGTAACTAAATTGTATGGTCAAGTCTATAAGCAAAATACCTCGAAAACCTGTATAACCAAGAATTTTTCAATATGTGACTCTGATGTAGCTTCTAAATTACTAGGATGCCAGCTGTAATATATTAATGTGCAGAAGATTATTAGATGCTGAAAGAATATTTGATATTAATTACAAAAAAGCCAGACGATCTGAAAACTATTCTATACTTTTATATGCCCCAGCCCATCCCACACATTAAAAATACATGGCTTACTGGGAAACTGATATGACCTTTCCAAAGAAGTATGAAAACAAACTTAAGTTATCAGTAAGCATAAATCACATGAACATCCAGTGTTATTTATGACAGAACTTATTTAACTCTACATAAATTGTATATTCTGGGCCATGTTGAAAATAGATGTTGTGGGACTGCAAACTAGCACATACCTTTTAGGAAATGTTGGGGGTGTTTTGATTGCGTTTCACCAATACAGTGCAAAAGTCCATCACCCTTCTGGGGATTGACAACATTCAGGGCCTGAGTCCTGAAGAAGAGCTCTGTATAGCTTGAAAGCATGTCTCTTTTGCCAACAGAAGTCTCTCTAATATCCTGGGACCAGCCAGGCTACAACACTAAAAACAAATTTAACCTTAGTAATAAACTAGATCCACTCCTTTATTTTCTCCTGAATGTAGCACTGCTCTCCATAGCTGCTAAATGATATCACCCTTAAATTTCCTTCATAGTACTTGCCTCAATAAATTATGAGATATGGTTGGTATGGAGAAATTCACTGCGTTAAAAAAGTACTTTAATAATACATAATCTGCCACCATTCATTACACAGTGTGTACCATGTCTTCAATCGTGATACATCAGCATAGTTCCTCAGTGTGTCTGGTCCAGTATTGGCTACAATGCTTTAGTCATTGGTTTGTTACCCTTTGATCTTAATTGATAATTTTACTGGTTCTTTGTTCTTTCTTGTGACAATTGGTGCTGCTTTCTAGAGATTAACTGAAGCTAATATTTGAAAATCATATTCTCCTGTTAAAAAGTGTTGCCATTATATTCTATCCTCCATAATAACTATCCATGTTTTCTTTAGTATGAGTGAGACTGTGCTCTGTCCTTACATGGTTGCACGTCTCAGGCTCTTGTTTGGATCTGAAGGGGGCACCTGGTTGCTGTTCCTTATTTTATATGTCGGGGAACAGTTAGTTAAGCCTGTCACCCCTCCCTCAATCACAGTCTAAAAAATGAGCTCGTACACAGATGTCACTTAAGGACTAACAGCCAAGTAGTTTAAATGTGGTAGAGGTGACAGTTCTGGAGCTGTCACAGCTTAAAGAAGTGCAATTGTAAAATAATTTTAATTTGTAAACTAATGGAAGTGCATAATATCAGTTATTTAATTAATACAGTACTTTTTAGCCAGAGCTATTTGAATAGTGCAAAAACAGAGTCCGGGAACATTGGTTCATTCATAATCTGAATGCCTGTTCAGTATGAACACGTTCATATCCCTTTTTCATCAGCTATTTGCAAAGTGTTTGTTCACATAATTGTTGATGACTGTTCTTTGTATGAAAATCTTGCATGTGAAGGTCACCTGAGCAAAACAAAATAATTTATTTTTCCCTATGAGCCTGGTTCAAAGCCCACTGTAGTCAGTGGGAATGCTTCCAATTAAAAACATCACATGATCTCCCATCAGCTAGCACCTCTACCACCAATGAATCCATAGAAATGAGATAGGCAGGGCTTACTGGTTTTAATTTCGCATGAACACACCCCTTTGCCAGAGATAGGGAGCACGGGTGGTCTCTTAGAATGTCCAAGATTCCCATTTTCTGTAAGTGAAGATTGAAACAAGAGTCATTTTTATTGTAAATCTTTAAATTCTTGCCACACTGGCAGACTCTTAGCTTCGATAATCAGTTTATGTCACTAATACAGACAGCAGTAAACACTATATTACTAACCCTGCTAATGCTGGCTTTTATCGCCAGTGGCTCAGAATCTGTGGTCTCATTGTTAGGTATATTGATCACTGGGAGACCTCCCCCTGCAATGCTCCATTTATGGAGGGCAGCCCTATCATGAATGCAAACTTGGGGCCCCAGTGTGAGCTCAGGCTGCCCAGTGAGCACTATGGCTGCTGATGCTTCTCTGAGAAAAATAGTCAAATACCAATAGCAAACACGCTCATTGACACTGGGGATGAAATAATCCTTTCTGTTACTTCTGATGTAAGAAAATGAACATCTCATTAGATAACAAGTTAACATGGCTTCACTGTATTTCTTCCTCTCTGGTGCTGGTATTTGACTTTGTTCCTGCTGGAGACAAGTGGACTCAGCTCATTGACTAGCTGACAGCACCCGACTGTTAAAAGGAACTTGGAGGGTTTTAATTTACATGTAAATATGCAGGGTGGGCCAGACTGACTGCTGAGTGTACACAGACTTTTACTCCAGAAATTTAAAGGCATAAAGAGTGGTCACTGGATGAAATCTTGGCCCTATGGAGGTTAAAGGCAAAACTCCCATTGACTTCACTGGAGCCAGAATGTCATCTCTCTGTTAGTGTGACACCAGTTCCAGATTAGCACCTTTCTCTTATGCTTCTTCTTTCCAGAAGCCATAATCACTTCCTGTGGGACCAGAGATAAGTATGAAGCTGAATATGGTCCCATAACTGGTGGTGATAAGGTCTGATATTGAATTCAGACATTGTATGCTGATTTAGGCTTGTTTCCGCCCGATTAAAAAAGGTGTTTGCTCAACTGACAGTTAAGAAGTACTAATACCTAAAATGTTGCAGAGTCAAATTCACCGCTAGTGTAAACTAGCACAGCTCCAATGGACTCTGGTGGAGCTGAACCAATTTACACCAACAGAGAATGTGGCCCTTCATTTTTAAAAAGACGGCATTACTTTTAGACATGGTTTTATCTACATACAAAAAACAGAGGTACATGCAGCATAGGAGAATAGGATGGAGTGTAACAATAAGACTGATCTTCTAATCCTGTTAAATACTGGCGAATGATGATGTGTGTTTATTTGTATTTAACACTTTGTAATAACTGGTAGACCATTGCCCTTGAGGCTTTCATAATGATTAAAAATGCATAATATCAATAAAAATGAGTGTGTATGTGTGTATATATATATATATACACACACACACATACATACACACATATATATACACAGAGAGAGAGAGAAACTCCTCACGCAATCCTAACTAATAATTACTAGCTAGTTAGCAGCAGTAGTAGCAGCAGCAAAACATCTCCTTAGTGCTCACCTCCCCACACTTTTCCCAAATACCTGAAAAAAGGGCTTTGCAGGGTGGCCAGAGGCTAACAAGTGCCAAAGAAAAAGAGACTTCAAGGAAAATACTTTGTGAGCAGCCCTCTTCCATTTAAACTGTCTTTGGGACTTAGCTTGAGCACTTCTGCTGCCTCACTGAGTGTGAATGCAATGGTGTCACATAGGGAAAGAGGAGTGCTTTCTTTCTCCCACTTCTCAGGACATTTAGGGCTACATCTAAACTTGAGTGGCACATTTGTAGATTTCCGGGGAGATGAGTTTTTTAATTTTCTCATTCCTTTTCATTGTTTTGCTTTCTGCCACCTCCCCAACCTCTCACTGGCATAGTTCTATTCCCAAGCAAAACTTAGTGCAGCCTTTAGGCTGTTCTAAATGGCACTGCCTCATAAAATCTCCTTATGGGCCATTACACTAGCAGGGATTGCTAGAGTGCAGTATACTCTAGCCACAGCCCCTTCCTCGTGTACCCAAGGATAGAATAGGTGGCGGCAATATTGGTTCAAAGATTTCCCTTTGCCGGGCATATCCTCAGCTTCCCATTTAGGATTTTAATCCCCTTTTTCCACCGTATTAGTGGAAAGGGGTCTTGGGACTTAGTAGGGCTGAGGATCTTGCCCACAATACTCAAAGTACTTCTTTGGCGGGAGTATAATAATTTCCTGTTGCAATCCAAGTGTGTTTATGTAGCAATTAACTTGCTCTTTCTTTGTTCTTTGGGGTTTGTAGGTATTATTACCTGGCTTTCAAGGCACATCAGACCCCTCTTGGTACCAGAGAAAGCTGTATTGCTATTTTGGAGAAATCGAAACTAGACAATTGGGTTCTTGGGAAAACAAAGGTAGGGCATGTTTCTGGTTTTCTCCAGGGGTGTCCTCTCTGCAGCGAGGCATGTCAAATGAGTGGTTTAATGAAGCTGTGGCTCATTCTTCCCTGTGTGGATGTGATGGGAAAGGGAGAGGGTGCAAGGAATGTCCACTGCTCCTGCACGCTGACTGCTGCTTCAGGCTAGTGTAGCTGCAGGTGCTAGCCTCCCTAGATTGAGGGAATGCCTTGCCCCTTTCCTGCCTAGCCTGCATAAGGAGAGATGCACATAGAACCCTCTCCCAAAGGTGGCATAGTACCCGCACCACCCCTGGGTGCCTCCGGGGCACGGTGCCTCCAGTAGTGCCTGCTGGTGTGGGGCTCCTCCACAATCCTCCCTACTGTAGGTTGTGGCTTAATGCCACCATTTAGCCTTTGCTATCTGTGAACCACTTTAGGCCAGTATCGGTTTGCAGAAGTTGTCCAGCCTTTCAGATGAGATGCTTTGGGCTATTTTAGTAGCAGCCTTTGTTCATAGTTTAAAATGGTGTGACCGATTTTGCAAAATATGGGGTCAAATCCTGAAATTGCTTACTCATTCCTTAGAAGTAAGCCAAAGGGAGTTTCCTGAATAGGGGCTCTTAGGATTTGGCCCCTGAACTAGGATACAATACTGTATTTATAAAAAGAAAAGGAGTACTTGTGGCACCTTAGAGACTAACCAATTTATTTGAGCATGAGCTTTCGTGAGCTACAGCAGTGAGCTGTAGCTCACGAAAGCTCATGCTCAAATAAATTGGTTAGTCTCTAAGGTGCCACAAGTACTCCTTTTCTTTTTGCGAATACAGACTAACACGGCTGTTCCTCTGAAACCTGTATTTATAAACTCACCCTTCTCCCCTCTTATCATTATCATGAGGACCGCTTTGTGCTAATGTTTATCCTAAGGACTCCCACCAGATTTTCAGTGTAATGCCACATTAATGAAAGAGACCATTATTGAAAATGTTACCACAAATCAGCTGTAGCTTGAAAAGCTATATTTAAACATTGCTGATACAGAAATGCAGCATTCTGACCAAGCTGTCACCAGTGATTTACTTGGGGGTAACGGGGATAATTGTGTGACTTGCATTGTAATGGCTGATTGTAATTAGTGCAATGAACTAAAAACATATATTCTACCACATGGTTTCTGAAATTCTAGCTATAAGAGTTAGCAGCTTTTTCTAGCAATGATGCTGTAATGTAGATTGAAATAATACTAATGAGGAGGCAGTATAAAAGATTTTATTCTGCTGCTTACATGTAATGCTGAACCTGTTGTTCCATTTCAGGTGTTTCTAAAGTATTACCACATAGAGCAGTTAAATTTGCTGCTGCGAGAAGTTATAGGCAGGGTGGTGGTAATGCAGGCCTATACCAAGGGGTGGCTTGGAGCTAGGAGATATAGGAGAATCAAAGAGAGAAGAGAAAATAGTGCCGTCGCCATTCAGTCAGGTAAACATTCATATTCCTTATTTCATGCACAATCTTGACATTTTAAATTGCCTGCAAATTATCTATTCATTTTCTCAATGGTTTGCTGTGAAATCAAAATAATATGTGGTGCTTTCCCCCTCCAGCTAACTGATACCAACATTACAGATTAATTTCTAAGTTATCAGTTTAGTAATCACTAATGTCTTTGTTTAAATGTTTTATTATTATAGACTATGCCTGTAACAAAGGAAGAGTGTTGTTTAGTGTTTCTCCACTAATGTGCAGCACACAGAAGAGATGCAATAGCTACAGTCTCCTTTTTGCATGTACCTCTGCATTCCAAATAACATAAATACTGCCATGGGCTGGGAAGGTTGATTATTAGTAGTTTATCATGCTTCACTCTGTTGATGTATTTTTTGGGAGGTGCGGTGTTAGAGGGATGCAGTTGTTTGCATTGAACTTTGACCTCCAATGATTCTGCACCTCAGTCTTTGCTTGACTTTGTGACATCAGAGAGCACATGTAGACAATTAAAATTTGGAAGACTGGAGATGCGTTTGAAGTTGTGGAGATGCTTATACTCCAGTCTTGAGCCCAGAGTTCAACTGGTGGGTGGGTGAGGAAGAGGTAGTGGGAGGGGGTGGTTATGGCAGGAGGATGAAAGATTAGGCACATCTCTGACTCTATAACACTTCCTTAAAGAACTGTACCGTAATTCCCAACACATGGGTTTGTATTTTTAGCCTGGAGAGGATATGAAACTCGCAGGAAGTACAAGGAAATAAGGAACAGAAGAACTGATGCTGCTATACATATTCAAGCAGGTAATTAAAACATTATTTCCACAGACTATTTTGCTATGGATAACTTCATGTCAGTATTTATAGCTGAGAGAAATGTAAACAGCCCAAACAAAAGCAATCAGAAAGTACTGCTTCTGATCATGTGTTCTTCAATATCAAATGTCACCAGTGACAGGACTTTGGAGCTTTTATGGTGAGTACATTTTTGAAAGCAAAACATGCTGATTAAAAGCCATTGAATGAATTCTCAGGGATCCATCTGGGCTCAGAGAATCAATGTGTATTAACCATGTGTAGAGTTGGTGTGAAGCACTAGAATCGTTTTGCTTAAAGTGTGGATGATAGCCACTGGACATGCCATCTCTCTGGCTTTGTGGTTATCCCTAATATTGGCAGATTGCCAGGTTTTATTCTTAATTGCTGTGGATTTTCCCAGCATGGGCCAAGCCTCCGATTCCCTGCCAGGCTTCAATGCATGCATATCAATAAGAATTTGGATAAACTGGAAAGAGATTATTGAAGGAACAGGCCTGCGGGCTGGTGCAGGTCTCTAGTAGAGCGCAAGAGATCATAGGGCACTGAAACTATAAGATCCAACCTACTGAAGTCAGTAGCAGAGAGGCTATAGTTTCAAATGCAGCCAACATGCAGCAAACTAGGGATGATGTACCACACCTGTGTATGCCATTGTTCCCTGCAACCAAGGGTGAAGTCGTTCTGTAGCAGATCTAAAAAGAGCCATAGCAGATGTACCAACAGAGAAACCTGTGCTCCACATTTCAGTCCAGTCATTGCTTTTACTATAATTATGTGACTTCTGTTACCTCTGAGTTCTGTTTTTCTCAGATGATAGTTAAACTGAAAGAAAAGATTTTCTGCTGAATGTTCTCTCACTTCTGAACATAAAACTAAAATGTTATTGACAAGCCATTTTCATTATAAATCCAACAACTTCCTTCCTGTCCCCAACCCTGTTCCTTGAGAGTCAGCATCACTATGACTTTAAGAGGAAGGCAAAATAATACAATTCTGGCTGTAGTATTAGAAAGGCAATGTATGTTTCTTTTAGGGCAAGGCTCTTTATACACATTATTCTGTATGTTCATAAAATACCATGTGCCTTGCTCTAGGGCTATATGCTGTATGTTCAATGAAATTGGGAGCTATTGAACGGGAAGGTTTTTCCAAGTTACAGCAAACACCAAGTGACTGGATAATCATATGCTCTACTTGCTCCCCACCCCTGTGCTGTTATCTTCCATTGTTCTCGTTTTAACACAGAGTACCAGTTCTTCATACAGGGAATCCATCTTTAGATGTACTGTAAAGCATTGACTCTTGACAGTAATGCTCTTTTTGGAAATCATTATTACATTTACATTTGGATGCCTGCACTTCAATTTCCCAGCCAACCCAACAGCCCGTGCAGTACAGGGGGAAAGAAAGGCTAGGTCACAGATGACCCTTCAGTCTGCACTATTACCAGTTCTTAAAGTAGTCATTTGGCACAGCACAGAGGAAAGCAATGTGGTACAACACCTGGCCCTGGAGGGTGCTAGGCAGCATTTTGCCTTAGAATTCCATGTAGAGGTCCTGGGCATGCAGAATATGTATGCCCATTGCTAAACCATTGATCATTGTGTTGATCAGATTGGATGTATGTGCATTAGGACTACAGAGTTCAGAGTGACACAGCGCACCTTCGTGTTAATCATGCTTTACAGCTATTCCCATCTTTGGTACAGCTTTAGAATTTATGGTGCATAATCATTTATTTCAGAAAATAAAACTTCAGTGTGTGTGACTCTCTGCCTTAGGAAATCTATATCTAGGACTCTCTAATTGAAACTTCTTTCTAAACATTTTGTTTATCTCTGCAGATTAGTCTTTCTGTGTTTCAAGGCTGAGCAAATAATTGCAAAGTGTGACCATTATCTGGGTTTTAAAATAGACTGTCTATTACTATTGTTACTCCCATGCCACCATAAAAGTGTGTGGTGCTGAACAGGCAAATAGACATAATCTCCACACTGAAGAGCTTACAATGTAAGTACAGATAAAGGACAGCATTTCAAGAAAAAGAAATGTGGTCATTTTAACATTATTTTAAAGAATGAGCAATTTAGATCACAGAGATACAGTACTTGCGTTTGCTGGTCAGGCATTTGTAAAACCGCATAATTAAAGTATATATACCAAAATAAAACAGTCCTTGAAATTTTGGAAGCATTTGGCTTACATGTTTCTACAGAACAGCACATATTGAAATTTGTTTTCCTTTCATCTCCTTCCCAATAAAAGCAGCAGTGCAGCTTATCCCTTTAGCTTCCTCAGAACTTCCTTTCAGAATTCCCGATCTATTACAGCACATTCACATACCAGAAACAAGATGCCTTTTCATGCTGTCAACCTTTTTCATCTGAAATGTAAATTAATTCTTGCTGGTACGCTTTGACAGAGATCAAAGTAGGGGGTATTAACCTTATTGGGCCTTCTCTTCATTGGAATCAGTTCCAAAGACTGCAAGGGTGGTGTTAGGAAGCCAGTCTTCACTGTTATCTATGGCCCTGCTCCAGGCAGTCCTCTGTCTACAAGTCAACATTTCAAAGGCAGTGATTTCTTTTGTAAATGACCTTATCATTAGTTTAAACTGTGTGAAAAATGATTTGCCTGAATAATTCTCACAGGATTATCCTGCTCATTTTAATTGTGGGGGGACTTCATTCAGATTCCAGGATATTGTTTAAGTGGTTTTGACAGCAAGTGAGCACAGCCTGATAGAAAGGAGGAACACAGCTTCTGATTGAAAACCTCTTGACTTGTTCAGATTGTTCATTTCGTGAAGTCAGTCTTTGAGGTAGGCTACATTTGCATTTTAAAAATAAACAGATGCCTTTCAAATACATGAGCTGTTGGTCTGGAGATCTCAGTGGGCCCAACCAGTTCACTATCCATTGATGGAAATGTTGGAAGAAAAAACAAATTTTTAAAAAACCCAAGTATCCATGAAGATACATTTCCTGTGTGTATAATATTACACCAAAACGAAGTCATTATTTGGGGGTGGAAAAAACCCCTTGCTAATAGGTAAAATGTTTATGAATTTAAGCAGTTCAGTACATCTACAATAGTGGTTCACACAATGTGAGCTACATCAGTGTATTTACACTGGTAGCTAAAATCCCCAGTGTAGGCAAAACCTTACCCACCTAACTGTGTCTCAGTTTCCCAATCAGTAAAACATGGATGGATCATAACAATTTTCTACCTCAAAGAGAAGGCAAACGTATTGTGAAAGAATTGAGTTGCTCAAACAAAAATGAAGTAGTTATTTCTTTGTGCTGTGGTTTGTATTGCTTTGTTTAAAGCCTAGAACAAGGAAAAAATCACTTTGTTGAAATAATTTTAACATTACATTGACCCAGATTCACAGCTGGTGTAAATCAATGGATTGCCATTGTTTGATTTCAGTGGAACGATGCTGATTTACACCAGCTTTGGATCTGTAGCTATATTTGTATTACCATGTTTTATTAATTAGAATTAAAACCAAGTAAATTCAATTATAATGGTAATTTTGTTTGTTTTTACTCCATTCCCAGTCACTATAGCGTGGATTTCCATGTCAAGTGACAGCTCTCTCCAAAGACTTGAGTGGATTTTAATCTCTGTTTCATTTGTGAGCAGACACTGCCAAAATGCCAAATGAGTGGTGCATGCAATTCACTTAGATCTGAGGTGACATCACTGAACTCATGTTAATTAAGGCCTCTTTAGCCATCTGGAATACGCTGTGCAACTCTAGTCAGGATTGAGTTTAAACTCTGCTTCCAGAGGTGAAAGGCAAATGATTAATCCACTGAGCCACCATCCCCTCCTCCGACACACACTCATGCACTCACCATATGCCACATTTTACTGTGGAATTCTTTACTGAGAACTCAAGATTCAAGTTCTTTTTTGTGATGCTCAGGAGGAAAGAGAAATGAGACAATCCCTCTATGAACTAGTTCTGTCTTGTAACTTTTTACCATGTGATGTTGCTCACCAACTATTTCACAGTCTTAACTAACAACCTTCTAAGAACAAAATTTTGTGACTGGGGAGAACTACATATGATTTACATTAAGTTAATATGTATGTAAAATGTATATGGCTAGGATTTTCAAAAGTGCTCAGGAATCACACCTTCAGCTCCAAATGTAGACATACACTATGAGTGCATCTACATTTCCATTAGATTTGTACTTCCTGGTTTTGACTGTAAACGGAAAAGCACTGAAAGCTCACTGGACAGGCAGCCTATTCCTGCATTATTTCATGATCCAGCTGGAGCCAGGAAAGGACAGAACTCCTTGGCAAACCTATTCCTACTTGGTCCAGCCTGATTTCTAGACTTAAGAGGTTCAGATTAGCAGTTACAATTTTGGGTGCTGTCACAGGCTTTTGCACTCCAGATTTTACCATAACAGCCAGTAATCTAAAACACTTTGTGTAGACAATAATACCCAGCAGCATCATAAGCCCTGTTTGCAACCCTGGAAAAAAGGTGCTAATACTTACTAGTAGATTTATGGCTCTGTTCTCCCCTTTATGAGAGAATACATGCTGGGAAAAGAAATTCCACAAGTTGAAACTCAGTTTTCTATTCATTCTTCCACTGACGGAATGGCGGCGCGGGGGAGAGAAGTGTTTTGCACCCTAAGGTTGTAAACCTGCAAACCTCCTGAGATCCACAGGAGACAATGGGCATCTCTGGATAACTAGGCTGGCATAAAAGTTGTGTAAAAAAGTGGAGGATCATAGTGTCCAAACCCTCTCAAATTTTGGCACTTAAACTCTGGAAGTGCTTATTTGAGAAGACAAATGAGGAAGTCGGAGGTCTTACTTGGGAACCCAAGTTTGAAAATTGGGCCTATAAAGTACCACGATATTATGGTATCATCCCTTCAACAAGTGACTAGTTTGCATTTCCAAGGGCACAGTAATTCTTGTTTTTTACTGTAAATGGGATTAGGATTTGAAAGTGTCCGTCTATGTAAGTAGCTGTTTTACCTGCTCTTTTATGGTTAGGAATGAGAGAGAGAGAGAGATGTTTCTTGAGAAGAATGAATCCTCTCTTGCTGCTTTAAAATGTTTCGTACCTCCTGCCTATATGTTTTATGCATCAATCTATGATTGTCCTGATTGCTCTCTACATTGTGCTCAACAGCCCATTGTAGCATGACATGCTCTATGCCAGTGTTTCCCAAATTTGGGATGCCGCTTGTGCAGGGAGAGCCCCTGGCGGGCCCAGCCAGTTTGTTTACCTGCCGCATCCACAAGTTCAGCCAATCGCGGCTCCCACTGGCCGTGGTTCGCTGTTCCTGGCCAATGGGAGCTGCGGGAAGTGGTACAGGCCGAGGGACGTACTGGCCGCTGCTTCCCGCAGCCCCCATTGGCTGGCCACAGTGAACCGTGGCCACTGGGAGCCCCGATCGGCCAAACCTGCGGATGTGGCAGGTAAACAAACCAGCCGGGCCCGCCAGGGGCTTTCCCTGCACAAGCAGCGTCCCAAGTTTGGGAAACACTGCTCTATGTAAATCAGCAGGAAAATGCCTGGACTTTTTGCTGACCAAAATTGAACAGCTTTGTGTGTAATCTATATGGCTCAGTAAATTCTTTGTGAATAAAGGTCTTTAACAGCAAAGCATCAAGTCCGAGTCCTGAAGGTAAAAATAATTGCAACTTGCTACCCACTGAACCTGAGGGAAGACTCATTTTGTATGAGCATCAGTATCCAAAATGCATGGCACATATAATATTTAACACCAAATGACTATTAATATGAGTGATAATGTGCAGTTCACATCCCATTTTGCTCCAAGCTCAAATCCTGTTGTCATTAGCTGTGTAAGGATCAGGACTGAATATACTGTTGCTATGAAGTTTGCGGTAGAGATACATAAGGTGAAAATAAAGTGACAGCTGGTAATCATTCTTCTTCAGTGATGTGATGATTGTTCATGGGGCATTAGCAACATGCATCTACTAATTTCACACTCTTTGAGCCAAGTGCTTAGTGTCAAAACCAGCCATAGTCAGTAATGCAAATTGCTGTGATGGAGCAGCTTCCTGACCTCTCAGCCTCCCACAGTAGAATGCCCTGTGTCTATGTTGCTTTGGAAACATTATGGATCCATTTCAAAAATGCTGAAGCGAAACACTCCTCTGAATGTTGAATGAAACCTTTAGGAAACATGCTGGTCTGCCGTGCTATTGAGGTTATCCCAGGAGTCAAAGGAGAATCAGGAATTGCACACCTGTTACCTTGCAGCACCTAAGCATTCTAGGAAACCTGCCTTTGATAGAGTTTAATCAAAGACAAGCTAAGTTCTAAAATATTTATGAAAACAAAGGAATACAGTGGAACCTATTACAGTGAAATCAGATATAGTCAAGCTCCATTTATTTAGTGAATGAAGGACAATCCTGAATTGTTTCATTGCATTAAAAAAAATTGAAGAGCAGTCCAGTGTATCCACAGGGTAAAAAGTGCCATTGTAAGAAATGTGACACTCCGTTTTTTAAAATAGTAGTAATGAGGAAAAAAAAGTCTAAAGGTTCAGACTTAAGAAAAGGTGAAAAACAAGCCTGCTGATGCTATCATCATTTTATTATTTTAGTTTATTTTCAATGCTCCTTTTTATTTAAACTTGTCCATAGACTGACCAGTATTTGGCACATTTCAGCTCTGTAGAGATAGCTGCTGCTGGCCAGTTGTCTTTGCAGCCAACATCAGAGTAGGCTTCTTGTCTGGTCAGTAGGGGATAGTTAAGGATTGGAAGACTGATCACATGAGGCAGCTGAATGTTTGCCTCCTCTCTGCCTGGTAGGCAGACTTTTCCAGTCTTCTTATTAAGGAAGGAAAGTGCTTCAGTCTCATGATACCTGAATGCTGTATTTACAGCACCTCAGCAGGCCCAAATTCTGTCATTCTTTCTGCAAAAGAATGGTTATTTATTTCAGTGGAAATGAAGTGAAAGATAATGACATCTCACTAAAAAGCATTTTTTGCTGCTTCTAACACTGGCAATTCTGAAAACTCCCAAAGGCACTGAAATATTTAGGTTATTATGGTGCATTGCATACCACAACTCAAGCAGTTCAGGTGGCTTTCATTTTCGTGCATTGCACAGAAAAATGTAACTACAAAGATTTTTCTTGAGAAACACTGGTTGAAGAGAAGGTAGTTAATGCTATCCTGTGATTAAACTAGACAGGAAGGGGATTGGTTACAGTTCTCCCTAAGGAAACCCTTAAAAAGAGATTATGGTGACTATTTTTCTGTTTTCTTTAACACACACTTATTAATATGCAACATAACATCAGTGTGGGCTGCTTTTAAAAGAGTAGTTAAACACTGAAAGATGAGACTCCATGAATAATTCCAAAATGTGAGGATTTTAAGGTGTAAACTGTACAGGGCAGGGACTTCCTTTGCGTGGACAGTGCCTAGTAGTCCTGGAATTTAAAACACCGTGGGAAAAATAAAAACAACGAGGAGATGTTGCATCTGAAGAAGTGTAGTTTTTTACCCACGAAAGCTTATGCCCAAATAAATCTGTTAGTCTTTAAGGTGCCACCGGATTCCTCGTTGTTTTTGTGGATACAGACTAACATGGCTACTCCTCTGATACTGGGGAAAATAGCTGTTATCAACACACATTTCTGTTTTCATAGAAACCATACGCATTAGAGATGGAAATGACCTGTAGGTCTTCTCATCAGACCTCCTATATTTAGGTTATCCAGGCCCTTCTCCATCCTGCTACATCGTTTAGCCAGTGCAGGATCAATCCCTTCAGTATATTCTCAAATTTCTTGGGCCTGATCCTGCATTGGGATCCACTATGCCCATACAGAGTCTCACTGATGTCATTGCAACATCAGGGCATAGATTTCAACAACTCAGGTGATGGGGCTTTCTCCTATTCCATTGTGGAATAATTCTGCAGACTGAACCTGATGCTTAACTGCCTTTCCTAAAGCAAAGATACTTTCCTAATTGAGGCCACCGCTGGGAGATGTGTCCTCATATTCATCCCAAATTCTCCTTTGCATGTTATCATACTATTAGTTTTTACTATACCCTGGTGGTCCATGACAAACAATCCTTTCCCTATGTTGTTTCCATGCTTCATATATTGTGCAGTAGAAGGTTATCATCATTTTTGTGTGGGTATTGTATTTAAATTCCGTTGTATGTACTTTCCTCATGTCACATACAATAGAATATCAAGGTTGGAAGGGACCTCAGGAGGTCATCCAGTCCAACCCCCTGCTCAAAGCAGGACCAATCCCCAGTTTTTGCCCCAGATCTGTAAATGGCCCCCTCAAGGATTGAACTCACAACTCTGGGTTTAGCAGGCCAATGCTCAAACCACTGATGTATCCCTCCCCCTCCCGACCTATCCCTCCCTCACCCCCTCCTGCCATTTAATCATTTTATTTATGTTTTAAAATAAATCAGTGTTTGATATAGATCCTAGGGGAGAGAAGGAGACCCTTGATTTTATTTTCCTTTGTGACATTAATATTTCCTTAAATTTCTTGCTTCTCAAATGCAACACTGTATTTATAAGGTCTGGTTTTACCTGTACTGTATACAGGAGTTATAATATCTTTGCTCAATGCTAGAGAGAATGAAGCCCAAATTTATATTGGATTCAATTTTGAAAAGTGCTTCACTGACTCAGGTGCCAAAATCCTATAGATTTTCAGTGGGGCTTAAGCACATTTGAAAATTTTACCCACTGACTTTTTTTGTCATTCCACTGCAGTAGAAGCTTCCTATCTAATTTATTGTTTCTTACCTCCTACTTAACTTGTGTGCTTTTGCGTTGGTGATATAACTTCAAAACATTTCTTGGCATGTAAAGATATTTGACATGACTGAGCCTAATGTATATCAAAAATGCTCTGTTATGGTTACAACTGGTTGAAAAATAGGGGAAGAAAAAATTTTGACTTTTGTTGTTAAACCTAGACAAAAAATTAAGTAAAAATTTCAAATTTTGAAAAATGTTAATCTGTTCTAATCCTGGTAGTTGTGGGTAAAACGGAATGGCTTTTTTATGACTGTTTTAATTAATATACCATGGGCCTGATTTTCATCAAACTAACTAATTACATTTATTCTCACTTTAAGTTTGTTTGCACTACCAGAATGGTGTAAAGTGGCCTTAGTGTAAGTGAAAATCAGGCCCTAAATATTTTTACAGTGTTTTAAAAGTGGAGCCAATTCTGCAAGGTGCTGGCTGCCTTTGGCCTGCATTTATTTAAATAGAGACTGAAAGCACTCAGCTCTGAGCAGGAGGGTGCCTGTTCTGTATAAGAGAAGCTGGTAGTTCTGACTAGGAGTGATTGTGAAGCTTCCTCTTATTCATACTTACGTCTGTCTAGCTTTCAGAGGATACACTGTTCGAAAAAATTATTCAAGATTGAAAAGTAGCGATGGTTACCCAGCTGATACTGAGTCTGTGGACAACTGCTCTGCCCCCAGTTTTGGCTGTGAAGAACATTGGTGAGTTGAATCCTTTGGTGTCCATTATTTTCACAAAAATCATATCCCATACAACACAAGGTGAAAGGAATAGGCTCTGAAAACAAATACCCTGCTTCAGCATTCAGCCATCTCTTTGGGATCCTGTTATTCTGTAAGCAAGAAACCTGTAAGCGGGCCAGTCCCTCCACCAGTTTAGTCATCTCAATGTTCTCTCTCTTGTCAGAGTTTGATGTCTTTGTTTGTTGTATTATCTGTCCAGATTGTGGGCCTGTACATTTCTCAGCAGCACACTCAGCACCCATTGACTTCAGTGAGAGTTGAGTCTGCTCAGCATTTCACAGGACTGGACTACATACCGGTGACTAGATTTGCTAGATTGGAAGCTCCTTGAGGTAGGGGCATGGTTTTCTTTTATGTCTGTAATGCTCCATGCATATCTAAGGTAGAGACCATAACAGTAAAAGGCAGGTCGGTAAGTCCCCTTCAGAGAGCCTAGGAGTACAGCAAATCTTCACCCTGGTTCCTACCTCTTTGCTGAGAGAGCAGGATTTTTAACCTTTCTCACTCCAAGCTCTACCAGCTGATTCACTCCACCCAGTTGTCCTCATGTATCTTACCTTCAGCTGGAACTGTAGGAGGCCGCTTACTCTTCTATAGCTGCCATCCATGACATTGCATTGATTATTCACCGGGGTAGGAACCCCTCTTTGACACATCTTTGTCCCTCTGGCCCAAGGAATGACAGTTCTGGGTTCTCTCTGGAATATATACTTCCCAGTTAGCGGTACAGCAAGAGCCTGCTACACCTCTTAAGAGAGCTCTCTGAGAAAACTGATGACTTACTTGACTTTAAGCAGACTGCATTATTCCATGGAGTAATAGTTTTAAAAAGAGGTGACCTTTGAAATCTCCAAACCCATACTTCTGATTTCTCTGCTTGTACTCATAAAATTCAGTTCAGTTAAATTCAATGATAACTTAGTGATTGGTTTAGATTGAATAATTTGTACTAAATGTTACAATGTGTGTCATTAAAAGATTCTAACCAGGTACAACCACATGTATACTCCTGGGCCATGCAAGCCAAGAACGCTACAGATGCTCTTTAGTGCAGCAATCTGATTTATGGAAGGGAAAGGTTTGGTCCAATGAACAAGGGCAAAAAGAAGAAATAAAAGCTTGTTGCAGTGCATTCAGGCAAAGGGAGAGTTCATGAAAATGAGCTCTGTACAACTTACCACCCCAACTTTGTCTGCATGCTGGTCCTCTCTCCCTGTGGAAATCCATAACTCACCATCCATAACTGCACCAGCAGGGTGCAGCTCCCTATCCTTGCAAGGTACTCCAGTGGGACTCTCTTGCCGCCATCTCAGTCATGCTGGTAGTGGCACAGTGATCCCTTCAGCTGCCTGCTGGTGGTGGTAAAAATCAGCTGTCACCATGTGTGTCATGCTGAGTACGTTTCCCAGACCCAAAGAAGAGCTCGGTGTAAGCCTGAAAGCTTCTCTCTCTCACCAACAGAAGTTGGTCCAGTAAAAGATATTACCTTGCCCACCTTGCCTCTCTGATAGATAGGCCCATCCCAGGCTGACTATTTCCCCACCCTACATCAGGCTATTTTTGGAATTACTTTCTGCTTTCCAGGTAGATGTGTTTTCTTGGATTAGGTAGTATTTTTCACAGCTATATAGCCCCTCAGGCTCATGAAGCTTCAGGGACCAGCAGGCATTGAGGCAAATCTGGGCTGGATAGAACACTAAGTTGCTAATGGGAGTACATTGCCCATCCATCTCTTATGCAGGAATGTACTTGATACAGTAACGCCTCGCTTAACGTTGTAGTTATGTTCCTGAAAAATGCGACTTTCAGCTAAACGATGTGAAACAAATCCAATTTCTCCATAAGAAGTAATGTAAATAGGAGGGATTAGGTTCCAGGAAAATTTTTTTAACCAGACAAGACTATATTATATATACACCTCTACCCGATATAACACGATCCAATATAACACGAATTCGGATATAACGCAGTAAAGCATTTCCCCTCATCCCCCCTCCCTCCCAGGCTTCCGCAAGCCTTGGAGGGAGGGGGGAGAAGCGGAATGGCGGCAGCGCACTCAGGACAGGAGGCGGAGGTGGAGCGGAGGTGAGCTGGAGGGGTGGAGCTGCCGGTGGGTGCTCTGCACCCACCAACTTTTCTCCATGGGTGCTCCAGCCCCGGAGTTGGCACCTATGGTGGCAGCGTGTCTGGCTCCGACACGCTGCTCAGAGTGGCGTGTTAAGAGGGCCGGGCCGGGGCTGGGGGGTTGGATAAGGGGCAGAGGGTCTCGGGGGGTCTGAGGGGTCAGTCAGGGGCAGGAAGTAGGTGGGGGTCAGATAGGGGGCAGGGCCACGCGGTTTGGGGAGGCACAGCCTTCCCTATCTGGCCCTCCATAGCAAGTTCAATATAACGCGGTTTCACCTATAACGCGGTAAGATTTTTTGACTCCCGAGGACCGTGTTATATCGGGGTCGAGGTGTGTGTATATATACACACAGTATAAGTTTTAAACAAACAATTTAATACTGTACACAGCGATGATGATTGTGAAGCTTGGTTGAGGTGGTGAAGTCAGAGGGTGGAAGAGGGTGGTATATTTCCCAGGGAATGCCTTGCTGCTAAATGATGAACTAGCTTTTGGCTGAGCCCTCAAGGGTTAACCCATTGTTGTTAATGTAGCCTCACACTCTACAAGGCAGCACGAAGGGAGGGGAGACAGCATGGCAGACAGAGACACACACCCTGTGTGAGAGAGAGAGATGCACATTGCCCCTTTAAGTACGCTGACCCACTCTAAGTACACTGCCTTTTTAAGTAGATCAGCAAGTTGAGACAGCAGCTGCTGCTGCCAGGAAGCTCCTGCCATCCTGAGCCCTGTCGTGTCCTGTCCTCCCATGTAGATGGGGTAAGTGGGGTGCAGGAACGGGGGTAAGGGGACACCCTGACATTAGTCTCCCTCTCTCTCCCCCCCTCCCTTGCACAGCAAGCAGGAGGCTCCCGGGAGCAGCTCCAAGGCAGAGGGCAGGAGCAGCACATGGCAGTGGGGGGAGGGACACTGAACTGCCCGCAATTTGTAGCCTGCTGGGCGGCTGCTGCACAGGGAATTTAGAGGAGCGGGGAGCTGATGGGGGGCTGCCAGTCCACCCTGGTTCCAAGCCCCCACCAACTAGCTGCAACGGGCTGCTCTTCCTGCAAGCAGTGGACAAAGCAGGCAGCTGCCAAACGACATTATAAGGGAGCATTGCACAAGTTTAAACGAGCATGTTCCCTAATTGATCAGCAACCGAACAACAAAACAATCTTAACCGGGACGACTTTAAGTGAGGAGTTACTGTACACACTATGAGTCTCAATAAAATCCACACATTCTCTAATCCAAAGCTGTATTCTGTTAAAATGTCACCACTTCTGGTGATACTGGGTTTTATCCCTGATAAATATTGAAGATTATGAGCCTGATCCTATAATTTTCTCAGCAGCACCCTCTTTCCCACCCCACCTCCCCATTGACTTCAATGAGACTTGGGGGTACTCACCATTTCATAAAAGGCACTCAGTATCTTGCAAGTCTGGATTCTATAATTTACCTTTCATAAATCAAGCTGCACTTCCATGTGAGGCTGTTACTGCGTGCTGGGTTTTTTTAAGCATATGGCTGTTCAGTCATAAAGGAAACATAGTAAATAGGAATGCTGATGAATAATAGTTCAGATGTTTAACACAGTAGCTTGTAATATATCCCTAGAGAAGGAAGCTTCATTGTGAATTCACATACCTTTACATTCAAGTGTAGAATAATACAATTATCTTTAGGTTTCTTTTTATTTGGTAGTTGGTTGGGTTTTTTAAGATAGTAGTTTGTGAGAATGAAAAATGAGAAATGTATCCTGTGGGTCAGAAAGCAGAATCACATCTAGGTACTCAGTTTCAGTTCATGACATCCACAGGAACACAACTGTATACAATTAAATGTATCACAATCTGGCCTTCTTCCTGAAGAAAATTCAAAAGTTCAGCATAACTGAATGGAGAGTACATATTCTAATATTTGAGGAAATCATGGTGTTTCCAAAATGTACAAAAGAAATGGGCACATCTAGGAGAAGAGGCTTTTTAAAACTTAAATTCCTTCAAATGAATTTAGGCTATCCACTTAGCCTGTAGAACAGAGTAGAAGCAAATACACGCTATTAAATGTTATTAAAAACACAAGATTCTTATTTCAACTAAGTACTAAATATCTCCTACATTTAGCTGCCTAATTTGAAATGAGAAGGAACTGTACTCAAATACAAAGGACCTTTTTATATGAACCTCAGTAATTGATATCACAATTGTGTCTATGTTGCTAGCTTTTAACAGATAGCTTTTTACTGTACACAGTAGGAGTATAAATAGCTGCATAACATTAACTTAAACATTAGTGGCATAAATGCTTCCTGTCATTTAACTGGCATGTTCTTGCATTCTGCTGTATAGAACTGAGGGGCAGCCTGTGGAACTTTCTGATTGTGAAGAATCTTAGGGTTACATTGGCTTCAATGGGAATTGCCTTGATCTGAATTTGGCAACGAAGCACATCTGTATATATGAGTTTTGCCAGCCCTTTTTCTGATATCCCCAGCAATGAGCAGGAATCCTTAACAAGTCAATTACAGCTAGAAACTGGCTCCTTTTCATGGCCTGAGCAGCACACAGGGGCCAAATCACAATCAGATATAATATCTAATTCAAAACAGAATGGGCAAAATTTACCTTGAGGAGCCTGCCTTGGCCAATGCTTAATCCCATCAAGGAAAGTGAAAAACTGTCTGAACCCTCCTCAAAACCTTCCATCTCAGAATGTATCATTCTATGAAGCCAAAGATGCTACATCTTTCCGAGCTGGTATCTGTGATGTCACAAAATGACGTATTTTGGGATATCGTCAGCTAACCAGGAAGTGCTGGATTTGATGACTGGGGGGAGGGAATTTCTTTAGGTAGTTAGTTAAAACTTATTTCTGTTTTGAATGCTCCCCACAGGCTTCTCAGTGGGTGCTGGGAAGGTGGCGGGTGGCAGGTAAATAAAGCACTGGAATACAGGATTAACTTTATTATTATCCCTCATTATTAATACATCCTGGGGGTTGTTTTTAAACAAATAACCTTAAAAACATACAAGATATATAAGCATAAAAAGAGGAAAGCTGCCATCTAAAATTTGTCCCATGAGTCACCAAATAAATCCTGACCACAAGGTGACTCTGTAGCTTTGGTAGTCAGGGCTTTTGTTAAACCCTCCACAGAATTCCTGAATTTTAGGTGCTCAAATGCTCTCGTTCTCCTCTGACTGTCCTTAAAAATCTTGCAAAGCCTAGGAGCATGCTCTTCTGGATGTTACTGATCGCGATGTCTTGCGCTTCTTTTCATGTTCTTGAGTTGCTCATTCATATCCTCAGGGATGCTCCAAGTACCCCAGTAATCACTGGGATCATCTTTGTTTTAGTTTTCCATAATTATTCCACTTTATGGCAAAGTTCTTCATGCTTCACTATCTTCTCTTCTTCCCTTTTTTTATATTTCTGTCTGCTGGTATGGCAATATCAATTAACACGGTCAGAGTTGTCTTCTTTTCTACAACAACAATGTCCAGCCTATTTGCCTGAACCATTTGTCTGTGGCACTTGCTGAATCCCATAAAGACTTAGCCTGTTCGTTATCTGGAGCATTTTCAATTCAGTGGTCATAATACCACATAGTGTGTTTGAGTCCATACTTGTGGTAGAGGCTCCAATACATGCACTTGGGTTATGTCTACACTGCAATTGAAAACTCACGGCTGGCCAGTGCCAGCTGACTCTAGCTAAGGGTTGTTTAAATGCAGTGTAGACATTCAGACTCAAGCTGCAGCCTGAGCTCTGGGACCCTCCCACCTTACAGGGTCCTAGAGCCCAAGCTCCCCAAACATCTACACCACAATTAAACAGCCCCTTAGCCCATGAGCCTGAGTCAGCTGGCATAGGCTAGCTGTGGGATTTTTACTGCAGTGTAGACATACCATTGGTGACTTCATTGTGTTTGTTCAGACATTCTCTCCCAGACAGGCTCCTGCATGTGTTCAACACATGCTCCACTAGCTCTTGCTCTTTGGAACACATTCTGCAGTTTGGGGAGCAGTTCTGTTAGCTGATTTTGTTTCAAATGTAATTAAGTCTTAAGGACCTCTCTTATGCACTCATAATGAGGCACTCTGTCTATTTTTTTGAGGTGTCCTTCTACAGACCATGAGTTTGTTAATCTTTGTTCACTAATGTGTTCAGTCTCTCTCCACCACTGTCTGTGTATTGATTTCTCTGTAAATCTTTCAAGTCCTTCTTTGGCAATTTGGTTTCTTCTTTCTTTTATGCTGTCTTGGGCTGGGATGCATGCTCGGCCATTGCATGTTATCATAACCAGATGATCTGTTACTCTGGCTGACTCCTCATATATTTTGATGTTATATTCTTCATTGTCAATTGCTTCCTCCAGAGATAGCAGACCTCTTCCTCCATCACACTGTCAGATGTACATTCTGTCCATTTCTTGATTCATATTCACTACTTTATGTTTTGCCAGGAGCTTTCTTGTTTGGATGACAACATTTTTCTTCTCTTGATTCCACTTGATCACTCCAGCAAATGTATTGTCCAAGTATTAATGGCTTGGATCAAATTCTTTGAGTTGAGTTTTGTCCTCAGTGTAGATTTTATTTGTCTTTCATATTCTTTCCTCACTTCTTCTTTGACTTCCTTATGGTGTAAGTCTAACAGTTCACTGATTGCAAGGTGTTTGTAGGGGCCATGCTGAGAGATAGCTTAAATAGTACCTTTGTTAACTTGTATGCCATTCGATTGTACCAATTTACACCCTGTACGGACACCAACACACATTTATCTACCCCAACCTATAGCTTTTTATATCTTCACCAAACTGTTCTAAACAGATCTTCACTCTCTGTCTCCTTTTTTGACCATCCATAGTTTCAGATCATCTATGTATAACACATGGTTAACTTGTTGTGGTTCTTTGCTGTTATCATAACCATAATTTATCTCATGGAGCATCCATGTCTGCATCAGCATTGCAACCACAAATGGCATTGGTAATAAGGAATTCTCTTGAAAAATTCCTCTTTTAATTTGGGCCTCATTAATGAGAGTCCCTTTCAGGTAGAGTCAAGTGTTCCAGTTAATCATAGATAGCAGCAGAAAGGAAACAATCTTTGGACGAACCTTGTGCATTTTCAGTGTGTCGAGGATACATGAATGTGGGACGCTGTCATATGCTTTTTGGTAGGTATCTACACCATCTTTATTTTTTCTTGGGTTTTTTGCGGTGCGGGGGGTTGTGTGTGTGCATCTTCTGTGATCCTCTTGTTCAGCCTAAGGTGGTCTTTTGTCCCTTTCATGTTTACTGTACAACCTTTTTGCTCAGGAGGCGGAATTCCATTGTGAGCTAGCACTATCCAGATCTTCTTTGCCAGAGATGCTGTTAGAAATTTCCACATATTTAGAAAATACTTGATTGGACTATAATTCATAGAATCACTCCAGCCTTCTTTCTTTTTTTTGTATAAGGATGATTCTCCCTGTCGCCATCTATCTTGGACATTCATTCTTCAAACATTTATTAAGTTGCTCAAATAAATAACGATAGAGGCATAGAGATAGGCATTTTAGCTAGAATCCATGCACCCCATCTGGTCTGGATGCTTTCCAATTTTTCATTCCTGTTGGTACCTCATCTATTTATTTATTTGATATTCCTGTGTATTCTTCTATTGTGTCGTTTTTAAATTTCTCTCTCACATTTTTAATCCAGTTCACTGTCTGGTTATGTTGTACATCCCCAGACCAGATTTCCTTCCAGGAGCACTGAAACTCTTCCACATTATTTATTGACTTTCTATTTTTTTCCCATTCTGCTTTTAACATTGATCTGATCAAAGAATCTCTTAGGGTCTCTTGTGAAAGGTCTTTTCTCTTGATACTGACAGCTTCGTGCTAAATATCTTTCAAGCCTATGACTCAGTGTGATCAGCTTGTTTACATTGTTCCTTCACCACTCTCACATCCCTTTCATTCAGTGGATATTTCATCTCCAGGGTCTTTCACTTCTGTTTTCTCTTCAAATGTTTTTTCTCAAATTCATCCAATAGACTGATATCAGCATAAAAGCTTAATCTTCTGGTTTAACCTCCATTTTCATGGAGGGTGTGGCATACTGAGAGTTTCCTGGTGGTTCATTCATCAGGCTTGATGTTAAGCCAATGAGCTGCTACTGTTGCTGTAGCATATATTTAACTAGCTAATACTCGTTGGTCTTACAGTTTCCTTGAGTGCTTCTTTCAATTCTTGCGCTATATCATTGGGTCTTTGCTGGCCTACAAATTTCATACATGGTAGAGTTAGTTGAGGTGATCAATGTCTCTTAACTCTGTATGATCTCAAGCAACAAATCATTCATATTTCCCAAACTTTGTTCAGGTGAGGTTTCACTCATATTTGTCCTCAATATTTCCTCAGTCATTTGTGGCTGCTGTTTATCCTGTATCATTGCTTCTATCAATATGTTTGCATGTGGTTCAACACCACTGATCTCTCTTTTCATGCTTTCAAGCTCCAATTCC